CTGCCTTAGTGGTTATTCCTTGTTCAAGATGCAGACATAATATCCTGTCCACAAACACTATTAGAACAAATATTTCTATTCATTGAATTAAGGAATTGTAGCTGTATATCTATTGTAACTATTTCGAATATACAGATACAAAATGGTTGTTCAGTTGTATCCCCTTTTTTGTTTAGTTTTGTCAAAGAAGGGTATTCCATTGTCATTTAAATATTATAGGTGTGTTAATTCAGCAAAATATTCCAATATAATCTAGTAGTCCACAATAGTAGTAGGTTATCCACATGACTAGCAATGCCAGAAGTTGTTGATTTGAGCCTTTTACAGCTCAGTATATTAATATGGCTTTACTATTTATACTTCATTTTTATAACTTTTCTGCGGGATGGTTAAGACCAAGATAAAGCAAGACCTCTATAACAAGCGATGTAGCTTTTGTATCTGATAAGATTGGTCAAATCCCCTAAGGATTAATCCTGAAACCCTGTACCACAGACAAAATGACATTTGAATTTACAATAAATAAATAAACATTTGAGCTTACAATAAATATATATTATAATTTACAGTTACATATATTATAATCTCTGTCTGTCTGTCTGTCTCTCTGTCTCACTTTCATATTACAAACCATTCCTAAGGTTGATGGAAAATTGCAATTGACTTTCACACATGTATGTGCATCAAATGATATTCATGGACATACAAATATGTTGCCATAAGAATGTGGCACATAAACACACAAGAACAGCAACAGGAAGCACATCATAAACGTGAGCAGAATGCTGTGTGAGTGCCGGCAGAGATGCTGGCTCTGCCAGTTCACTCTTGAGCTAGGGGTCCAACTGCAGTGATTCATTTTGGAACAACTATCACTTCTGATCAGCTGATACAGGGACGTGGTGACACAGAGATAGGATGAGTGAGCTTTCTGCTGGTGAAGGAAGTGATGTTAGTGCATTTTCAAAGATTGTAAACACCTGAAATGGAGAGGTTTGCCAGAGGTGTCTACTGCAGCAGTTTAGGTTTCCACTAAACTAGTCCGTTAAAATACCTCAAATCTTGAATTACTTTGATTGTTTTTACTGCTGCTAATCACAGTTATTAAATAAATGTACAAAAATCTTTCATGTGTTTTCTATATAATCAAGGAATATCTGCTATTTAGGAGTGACTTTTTCCTCCCTCTCAATGAGTATACAGTTGTTAAATATTCCAGGAAGTATTATGGTGCCTTGTTCATATTTTAAATGTTGGAGGAATTTAGATCAGTGATTTCTGCCTAACAACTGTTGTTTCAAGAGAATTTGCGCACTGCTTGTTTGGTTCTCCTCAAACACAGCTGTAAGTTCTTCCTTTCTATATTTGGAGATGCAGCGACTGATGGCCGGCATCAACCATCTGGGTGAAGGGAAAGTTGGGTGGAAGGAAGGAGGGGCATAGCTGTTCATAGCCCTGGTACATGGCTGAAAGTCACTGTTAGACTCTTTTGCCCTGCATCTCTGACCTGATCCTGAACTTTAATTCTCTACGAGCAAAAGTGAAAATGACGGCCTACGTGATTTTTTGGTCAGTTTTATCAGAATTAATTTCACCTTTTTAGAGTATATTCTATGGAATACCCTCTCCATTTTCTGAAATCAAATTCATAGATAATAATCAAGCTATATACATATATATTTTAAAGGATCAATAAGATATAATGCTAAAATAAATAGCAAGTGTTATGAGTAATACTAATGAAAATTACTCATAATAAATCATAAACATATATAACAGCACACAATATTTAGCCACAACTTTCAGAGTGACATAATGAAGTAACTGAGTATTTGCACCTAAGGTTAGATTTACCTTGAATGAAACAGCTGTGACTACAGTCTGATACATGGTCATCCTAGCAGTGGCTTAAATACCACGAGTGCCCTAGCTGTGGGTGACATGATATTTTAAAAGAAAGTCCTGGTAATGTTAGAAAAATAAAACCATCTTGTCTTATGTTAAGTAGTTGCTCTCTTCTTGGAAAATTAAATGTACATTAAAACCTTACAAAAATGCTTAGGGCTTAAGTGTGAAACTCGGCTCTAGGAGGCCCTATTAGATAACAAGCTTTTCATCCATATGATTGCCTGGAGGAATATGAAAAAGTTATGCGTGACTGGAGGCAATATGTAAAGGCACAGGAACGCACTGTGTGTTACAGGTTGTACCTTTTCAAGATTAACTAAGCAGTAGCACTGTTCTACCCAATTACCTGATAATGCATGAGCTGTGACATACAACTGAAAGTATCATTCTTGGGCTAGGGAGATAGCTGAGTGCTTTAAGCACCTGCCTGACAAGCGCGTTGACCAGAGTTCAATCCCCTACACCACCAGAAATAGAAAAATCTCTTCCTTATATCCAAAGTGTCCTGAAGGAAGTGGTAATAATCCCACAGGGAACAACTAGTCTGTGCTATTTACATAAACCACTTATTTATGTAAGAACTCTTTCGCATTTTTATTCGTTCAATTTGCATTATTGGACAGAATCCTCGATAAGTCCTGATTAAAATGGAAGTCATCTTCTGGGGGTGGATTATTGATTGGTGGATTCACACCAAACTGTAGAAATTGAATAATATCTGTATTATACTTTATGAATACCTTTTATTTAAATTAAATTGTGTACATTTTATATAGGGTTCTTTTTTGGGTGGTTGGTTTTCTTTTTGTACTGGGGACCAAACTCAGGACACTGCACTTGCCAGGCAGAGTGCTTATTCCACTGAACTATCTTCCCAGCCTTTGTGTACATTTTAGCAGGAGTTCTTGCAGTGTTAAAAATAAACTTAGCTCTAGCTAAAGTTTAGAACCACTAATGCTGGAGGAGGTTTTCCTTATTTTGAATAGCATTAGCAACTTCTGATACTAAAATATCAGTAAGAGTTTAATGAACATTCTTGAAACCAACACTGAGAAAAAAAGAAGACACAGAATACTTGTTTCTGAAATTTTCATCTTATTTTGTGGTTGGTTGATTCTGCCTCCGAGAATCAGGAAGGAATCTGCCAGGTTGGGGAAGGGTGTGCTGCCTAACAAACAATCCTTGTTGTATTTACTTCCCTCTCATTGTTGGAACAAAATACCTGCACGCAAAGTTAAAGGGGGAAGGTTTAGTTAGTTCACAGTTTATAGAGGTTTCAGTCCAGAAACACAATCAGCTGAACTCAAGACAGGGTGCCTTGGCAAAGGTGGGTCACATAGGAGAACCACTTCATGCAAGCAGAAGACAGCAAAACCAAGCAAGCAAGGGAGAAGACAAGCCTCTTTCTGTCCCGCACATAGTGTCCAGGCTACCCCAGGTGCCAAACTCTGGCTGGATTGATTTAGTAATCACACGCCTTTAATCCCAGCATCACACACTCTAGATTCACTAGAGTGCAAATGCCCTACCTATGACCACATGTGGCTTTGTGAGGACACCTACACCCAAACCATGACCACCCCCTAGAAATAAATATTCAATACTTAAAAATAAATAATCATTTCCTTATACAACATAAATCTCATAGATTATCAGTGAGCCCTGGGTTCATCATATCTATCTAACACCTGGGTTACCACAATAGCTATGATCTCAAACATAGCTTTTCACTGTGCTAGGCACAGAGAGTTTTGGCGAACTGGCTTTTGATGTTACATGACCATGATGGTTCCTTCTAATTTCATTCTATAGCAAATTCAGGTATACTAAGATATGAGGAAAGCATAGTTTTGTATACAAAAGAAGAATATATATATATATATATATATATATATATTTGTTTTTTTTTTCAGAGCCGGGGATTGAACTCAGGCCCTTGAGCTTGCCAGGCAAGCGCTTATTCTACTGAGCCATCTCCCCGGCCCCTAGAAATATTTGATGTGCTGAACTAATAAAACTATGATGGGGAATTCCTCAAAAGCAGAAAGTAATACAGACGCTGGGCAGCCAGAAAATAAGACAAACACCCATTAAAGACTGTTTTATTTATAGCTTTTCTATGTATCGCCCTGCTGGGATCATCTCAGCAGCTATTAGCAACATAGTAGGTGCAGAATGAATGTCTGTCACATAAAAGGATGAATATGAATGTTTGCTTAATTTACCAAGACTCAGTATAATTAAAGCTTAAAGAGTTACTTCCCCATCTTAATTCCACACTGTGAACAAAATAAATATAAATGCCATTTGTATGCAATGTGCATTTAGAAAACTTGGGCGTCTGAGTGGTACAGCAGGAGAAAAGATGTTCCATCTTAAAATTTCTTCAATTAGGACCACTTGTAGGCTGGTCATATGGCATGGACAGCGCCCTTTGTGCTCTGCAGACTTGGGGACACGATATTTATTATCAGTGAAAGTAGTTCTGCTGTCATCAGCCACGTAGTTCTAGGAAGGCATGTCACATAGGTTCTGCAGCTGCACACCCATGCAGCCTTTAATCATGTCTGTATTTTGTATTGTATAGTTCTCTTAGACTGCTGAGAGCAATACAAACCGTCCAGTTATGGTTGCCATGTGGGAAATTTAGAGTATATTGTCTGCCACGAAGTGTCCATTTAAGAGACGTTTAGGGATGTTTAGCAGCAACCATCTGTTCTATTCTTAAAGTGTAATGGAATGTATATGCGGGAAAGTAATGTAGTTACAGAAGTTTGCCCCGGGTCTTGGGAAGAGAGATTTGGGAGAACCTGGTTCCCTACAAAATCATTAGTAATAACTCGTGGCTTTGAACCTCATCTCTCAAAGGTCAAATGCTTCACAAATGCCAAAGGGCATCCAGAACGCAGGCCACTTCACAGCTACAGAGCACCTCTCGCTCGCAGTGGCCCAACTACGGAGAGCCCCGCCTTCCAGGACAGCCCTCCAATCAGCGGGGCGGCCGAGCCCAGCCCTTGCCAGTCACGTGACGCGGCCAGGCCCGCTTCCGGCGCGTCGCGGACAGCTGACGTCTCCAGCCCGGCGTAGCGTCAGGGTTGGCCGGCGGCGGAGGCGGAGGCGGAGGCGATGGCTGTGGACCCCGAGCGGGCTTGAGGGCTGCTACCCAGCTCCGTCCCGCGCCTTCTCGCGGCGACCCGGCGCCTCGGTCTCGACTCGCTCAGCGCCTGCTCCCTCCCCGGCCGCTGCCTGGGCGGAGGCGGAGGCCCGGGCTGGCCGCCCTGCTGAGCCCCGGCTCGGCCCCGGACGGCCCGCTGCTGTGCGGAGAGGAGGCCGAGTCGGTAAGAGGCGGCTGCGGGGCCCGGAGGCCGCCGGC